GCACCATTCTTTGCTTTGCAGAGCTTCGGCCGTCCTCAGAGCTGAAAATGGTTATCTGTGCTTGGCTTTGGAGTCACAGAACCACAGAACAATATAGGGCGGAAGGGACCTCTGGAGATCATCTAGTCCAATCTCCTGCCAGAGCTGGTCCACCTGAAGCAGGCTGCACAGGAACATGTCCAGGTGGAGTTTGAATGTCTCCAGAGAAGGAGACTCCACCACCTCTCTGGGCAGCCCGTTCCAGGGCTCTGCCACCCTCAAAGTAAAGAAGCTCCTCCTCATGTTTAGATGGAACTTCTTATGTTCAAGTTTGTGCCTGTTTCCTCTCGTCCTAGTCAACAATGAGCTTGTCTGTGTTACCCCCTTGAACCCTCTTAGCTTATTTATTAATTGTTCCAGGATTTTCAAAATTAGATAAAGTTCCTACACAAACAAATGATCCTATTTAATAATAATTTAAAAAAAAAGCACACCAAAAAAACCCAAGGAGAGGTACTGCTTCCATGTGAACTCTTTGCAGCATCTTATTAAGTACTAGCCCACAAAGCTATTACACTTCATATGCTCGTTCAGTTGGGAATGGAGGCAAATATCTCATTAATTCCCAGTACCAGAGAGCAAAAAAAATGTGCTCACTGTTGCCCTTCTGTTGTGGTTTGGGCCGGACTGGCCAGTGAGATGAATATATGCATGTAAGGGCAAAACTGACAAAAAACTTGATGTAAATCAGAATAGATATTCAAGGCATCGGTAGACAACTGGGCATCTGATTTCTCTGTGCTCTCCATTAATTGAGAAGCAAAATCTCCTCAGTGTTTTGATTTGCCATAAGCTAAAGGTTTCTCTGCAGTCAGTTAAAGAACTTTCATCTCTGATCTCCTATTACTATTCCTCTTTAAACTTCATTTTACCCAGAAATGCTCACAAATAAGTCCAAAGAGGTTGTAGACAGATGTGTTCAGGTGCATTTTTTTTACCTATTATATATCTAGTCGCTTTTTCTATCAAGGTAATTGATGGCATCTGTCTTCACTTCCTCACATCTGTGTCACATGCAGCAGTAAAAAAGTTACAACCTGACGTTTCAGAATCTTGCACCATTATTTGTTTTGCAGAGCTACGGCCGTCCTCAGAGCTGAAAATGGTTATCTGTGCTTGGCTTTGGAGGTCACAGAAACACAGAACAATATAGGGTGGAAGGGACCTCTGGAGATCATCTAGTCCAATCTCCTGCCAGAGCTGGTCCACCTGAAGCAGGCTGCACAGGAACATGTCCAGGTGGAGTTTGAATGTCTCCAGAGAAGGAGACTCCACCACCTCTCTGGGCAGCCCGTTCCAGGGCTCTGCCACCCTCAAAGTAAAGAAGCTCCTCCTCATGTTTAGATGGAACTTCTTATGTTCAAGTTTGTGCCTGTTTCCTCTCGTCCTAGTCAACAATGAGCTTGTCTGTGTTACCCCCTTGAACCCTCTTAGCTTATTTATTAATTGTTCCAGGATTTTCAAAATTAGTATTTCAGTTTAGTAAATTAGCTTATTACGGGAGAATTTGATTACATGGTCCTGTTACTGATGCCCAGAGGAACGCATTTTCCTGGAAGGATGAAGTGGATTGAAGCTCCTTGCCTCTACATCCCCCAACAAGATGTACATGGTGCCACATTGCTGCTCTGCTTAAACGAGGGCCGTGTCGGCTCCTGGTCCTGAGCCTGAATTAACACTTGAAGGGGAAAATATTCCAGAGCACAATAAAACTTCACCTGAGTTTAGGTCAACTGCTGTCCTTGGCTTTTTCTATCAAGGTAATTGATGGCATCTGTCTTCACTTCCTCACATCTGTGTCACATGCAGCAGTAAAAAAGTTACAACCTGACGTTTCAGAATCTTGCACCATTATTTGTTTTGCAGAGCTACGGCCGTCCTCAGAGCTGAAAATGGTTATCTGTGCTTGGCTTTGGAGGTCACAGAAACACAGAACAATATAGGGTGGAAGGGACCTCTGGAGATCATCTAGTCCAATCTCCTGCCAGAGCTGGTCCACCCAGACCAGGTTGCACAGGAACATGTCCAGGTGGGGTTTGAATGTCTCCAGAGATGGAGACTCCACCACCTCTCTGGGCAGCCTCTTCCAGGGCTCTGCCACCCTCAAAGTGAAGAAGTTCCTCCTCATGTTGAGATGGAACTTCTTATGTTCAAGTTTGTGCCTGTTTCCTCTCGTCCTAGTCAATGATCAGCTTGTCTGTGTTACCCCCTTGAACCCTCTTAGCTTATTTATTAATTGTTCCAGGATTTTCAAAATTAGTATTTCAGCTTAGTAAATTAGCTTATTACGGGAGAATTTGATTACATGGTCCTGTTACTGATGCCCAGAGGAACGCATTTTCCTGGAAGGATGAAGTGGATTGAAGCTCCTTGCCTCTACATCCCCCAACAAGATGTACATGGTGCCACATTGCTGCTCTGCTTAAACGAGGGCCGTGTCGGCTCCTGGTCCTGAGCCTGAATTAACACTTGAAGGGGAAAATATTCCAGAGCACAATAAAACTTCACCTGAGTTTAGGTCAACTGCTGTCCTTGGGGCATGCAGAAAGGACCCCTGGGGCTGAATTTGCTCTTCACACCACCTGGATGTGACACTTCAGACCCTAAAAAGCTGCTTTTTAAGCTGTCTGTCAAGCTTTAATGGTATCATATCATATTGTATCATATCCTGCTACCTCCAGCTAGTGCAAAGCCACTTAAACCGCAGCTAAAGATGTTTTTAAGCTCATCTTTCTGACGGCACTGAAATGGGTTTGAAGCCCTTTCCCTGTCAGCTCCAGCTAAGAAGCAATTCAAGGAGATGCCACTTTGTAGCTCTTGGTGGCAGCAGCTCAGGCGAGGTGTGATACCTGGGTGTAAGGGAAAGCTTAGTCCTTCCCAAGGCAGGTTAATTAAGCCCTAAGTAATGACAATGTAAGGCCTTGAACACCCTGGAGGTGTTCAAGGCCAGGCTGGATGGGGCTTTGAGCAACCTGCTCTAGTGGGAGGTGTCCCTGCCCATGGCAGGGGGGTTGGGACTCGCTGATCTTTAAGGTCCCTTCCAACCCAAACCATTTGATGATTCTATGATTATTTAGCTCGTTATTGAGACACGGAATCTCCACAGCCAGTTAGAGCCCACCTGGCCTGGTGGCAGCAGATGGTACCTGACCCCCATCAAGTTATAGTTACCACGCATGCTCAAGGAAAGGATCTTCACCCGGGCAAGGGTGTTCTTGACCTATATTTAGCTCGTTATTGAGACACGGAATCTCCACAGCCAGTTAGAGCCCACCTGGCCTGGTGGCAGCAGATTGGTACCCAACCCCCATCAAGTTATAGCTACCACGCATGCTCAAGGGAAGGGTCTTCACCCGGGCAAGGGTGTTCTTGACCTATGGGCGTGATTTTTAGTATTATAATGAAGGTAGTTCACCTGAGGACACTAAGAATTGTCTTCACTTTCTTGCCAAGTTGGCTGAACTTCTCAAAGTGTGTAGATTTGTACCATCCTTGAGGTCCTTATGCTCAATGTGCCTCCTCAAGACTGATATAATACTTCACGGCCTGGAGTAGGAGTTCTTTTCATCAGCTCATGTTTGATAAATTCAAGGATAGAGCCCTCATTACTGGTGAGAATACACATAAGGCCTTTCAAAATGTGCCTCCTCAAGAATGATATAATAGTTCACTGCCTGGATTAGGAGTTCTTTTCATCAGCTCATGCTTGATAAATTCAAACACAGAGCCCTCTTACTGGTGAGAATACACATAAGGCCTTTCAACACTAGTTCCTAATACCATTTCAAGGGTATGCTGTGGTAACTCTGGCACTCGCCCTGGGTGGCCGAGGCCCTAGACCCACACACAGGCTTTCCTGACACCGATTTCCCACCTCCTTTCCAGCAATGGCAAATTATAAGCGCTTATTTAGGAACCAGGAGCAGCCTCTGAGGTTTTTTACCACAGCTTTAGGCCACCATTATCCACCCTGAGGCGCTGGGTGCCCCTGGGCGGGGGGGGGAGGAATCACGGAATCATGGAATTGTTGGAGTTGGAAGGGACCTCTAGAGATCATCTAGTCCAACTCCCCTCCTAAAGCAAGATTGTCCACAGCACATCACTCAGGACTGCAACCAGGTGGGCCTTGAAGATCTCCAGAGAAGGGGACTCCACACCCTCCCTGGGCAGCCTGTTCCAGGGCTCTGGCACCCTCACCAGAAAGAAGTTCTTCCTCATATTTTAGTGGAACTTCTCATGTTCCAGCTTCACTGAATTTCACTGGATTTTTAGAGTTAGAAAGGACCATAGAGATCATCTAGTCCAACTCCCCTGCTGAAGCAGGATTGCCTAGAGCTTGTCAGAGCATGTTAGTCAGGACGGCATCCAGGCGGGTCTTGAAAATCTCCAGAGAAGGGGATTCCACACCCTCCCTGGGCAGCCTGTTCCAGGGCTCTGTCACCCTCACTGTGAAGAAGTTTTTCCTCATATTTGAATGGAACCTCTTATGTTCCAACTTGTGCCCGTTGCCCCTCGTCCTCTCACTGGGAACCACTGAGAAGAGTCCGGCTCCCTCCTCCTTCAAGCCACCCTTAGATCTCTCAGCTTTTCCTCATCAGGGAGATGCTCCATCCCCTCAATCACCTTTGTTGCCCTACGCTGGACTCTCGCCCCTCAATCATCTTTGTTGCCCTACGCTGGACTCTCTCCAGCAATTCCCTTGAACTGGGGAGCCCAGAACTGGACACAGCATTCCAGTTGTGGCCTCCCCAGTGCAGAGCAAAGGGGGAGAATGACCTCCCTCCACCTCCAGGCCACACTCTTCCCTGGTCACCCCGGCTCTGGGGACCTTCCTGGGCTGGGCCACACCGGTGCCCGCCTCAAGCCCTCACCGCCGGGGAGGGGGGAACCTTTCCGTGAGGCGCCGCTTTCCAGCCGGCGGCCGCCGCGGAGGGACCGGCGCCGCTCCCGCCGTTGCCCGGGTAACGCCGGGCGGAGGAGGAGGAGGCGGCGGCGGGGAGAAAGCGGCCCCGCCAGCGGGTAGGGGTTCCCCCCTCCCGCGCCGCCATGCTGGACCCGGACAGCGGGCTCTCTCTCACCATAGCGCGGATCGTCCAGCGGCTGAAGGGCTCCAGCCTCCACTCCCAGCTGGAGCGACAGGCCCGGGTGAGCCCCGACCCGGCGCTGCGCCCCCCGGGCCCGCCTCCATTTCACGCTCCCCCTCCCTCCTCCACCCTTCACCGGCCCTTTGTTCCCGGCCCCTGCGGCCTCCTCCTCCTCCCGGCCCGGGACCAGGGGCCTGGGGCCTCCCCTCCTTTCCCTTCCCTCCCCCGACGGGGCCGGAGAACCGTCTGGCTTGTTTCTAAAGCTGTCTTTAGAATAACGTCTTCCCCTGGGGCCGAAGGATTTCCGCGGAGAGTATGAAGGAGCCTCCTCTTGGAAATCTCACTGCTTCAAATCTTTCCTAAAATGAACCGCTGTGTCTGTTAATCTCGGTTAATCTCTAATTTGGGAAGCTTTAAATTACACCCCCTCCCCTCGCCCTCTCCATGCCCCTGAGAAAAGGAGGATTTGGTGAAAGGAAGTGAAAATAAATGAAAAACGCACATGAAAGTACTTTTTTTTTTTTTTTGGTAGCCGGGAAAGTGCTTGTTTGTTTGCTTTTTTTCATATATATATTTAGTAAATTATGTGCACTCGAAACCAGATTTTCATTTTTTAGCTGAGCATCATTTAGGATGTTTCAGATTAGGATTGTGTCAGTTTTCATAGTAATACCATAGTATTGGTGCTGTGGCGATTGTTGTGTGTTACTGAAGTATTTTGGGTTGGGTTTTATAAAATCTTGGGGGTTGGGGGCTTTTTTTTCGCATACAGCGCTTAAAATTGTACGGATATTTTATTTTTTTTTTAGGGTAGGATGTTCATTATCTGCCTTAGTTTTGTTGGTTTTTTTTAAATGAAACATGTTTTTCTTTGAATGTTCTTAAAGTTTTCCATAGTGGGTTACATCCCTACATGCCTTTTCTGGGTTTTTGTTTTTAAATTTGTTCATTAGGTCTCTAAATGCTTTTTTTTAAATGTATGTCTGCTTTATTCCTATTGACTGACTGCTCTCTGAACCTGTGAGTAAGCAAATGTGCATGACTCGAAGAGGGAGGGGGGAGTGGAATTATAAAAGAGTAAAGATGTTGGGTTCTGCTAAGTGTTGGGGAACTGAGCATCCCAAATAGCCTGATGTGAGGTGTGGAGAGTCAAATGCAAAACCTTGTCCTCGATAAAGGCAGTGATGGGATTTCGGAGGAAGACTCTTTTAACAGCCCCGTTAACTGCTTATAATAAAACCTGTGTGTACTCCCCTCTGCGTTCATTCGTCTCCCGTGAGGGCCTGATTTCATAGTCATTTTGTACTTTGCATGTCTGTTTTGAAACAGGAGGAAGCTTGGTGTCCTCAGGACTTGGCGGGGTGTTTACATGCTGCTGGTGAATGCCTGTGTTGTACAGCTGCTTTGGATGCTCTGAGGAGTGTCCTTCCATGGTGGCATTTGATGTCTGAAAGGGCAGTTAAATGCCTAAATACCTCCCTGACAGTATAGCATATAAATCTACTCAATATAAGCAGAAACTCTGCAAAATCAAAATGTAAAGGTAACCTCTAAAATAAATAAATTGCAGTCTAATTGCCACAGCCCAATCTGTTGAGATGGCTTTGCAGAACGCTGTTTTACAAATTTCTTGGAGAAGAAAAAAAACCCCGTGTATATATAAATCAGAAGATTGTTCTGGTCATATGAAGTGCTAAAGGGAAAGAAAATAAACAAGTGTTTGAAGAGTTTGTAATAGAAGATTAAATCAGAGCTATGGTTCAGAGTAGACTGAACTTTCTTCTGAAAGACTGGAAAGTTTTTTGGATACACCAACTAGAGGATATCTCAGTGTAAAGAGTCGTCTTTTGGAGCTTGTAGTTTTAATTAATAGGGCCAGATGGGTACGCTGTTTGAGAGGAAACTGTAAATTCTCCTTGATCTTGAATTTTTTTATTGACCTTGCATGCATTTGTGTTCTTCCATGTATAGATTTTTTTCTTGATAATGCTTATATAGTCATATTATTGCTATACTATGCACTTGCAAAGGCCCTATCAGTCAGTTCCTTATCTTTGTCCGTCCCTCAGCACGTGTACAGAATTCTGATGTTTTCTGAATTTTGCTACTCTCTGTGTTAAATTGACATTTGATTTCCCTCACATTGCATGGGATGTTTATGAAGTTGCCTTATCAAATACACAGTCTTTGCTATTGCTGTGCATCACACCTGAACTCCGGTTTATTGATGGGGCGTGATGGGATTTTTTTGTGTCTGTTGATTAACAGTCAGTTTCTGAACAATGCTTGCTCTGCTCTGGTTGCAGTACTGATCTACAGGTGGTCCCTTTTAGGTGATTTTAAGTTATTTTGAGGGATGTATGCTGTATTTTTAAGAAATCTTTTGAGACAGTGGATCAGAATGAAACTTACTTATTGTTTTGGATATTTACACTACAGTTACATTTTACCTTTACAAAGATTCCTCTTTGCCAGTGCAGAAACTGACATTGCTGATAACTCCTTCCTCAGAAATATTTACTGTCTCTGAAAACATGAGAGGGAGAACGGATGGTAAGGTCCATTATAATATTGCCTGCAATTTTTGAGAGGTCATGTCGTCTCACAAACAGTGTATTAGCAAAAAAAATCTGTGTTGTAATTAATCTCTTCTATTAATATCTAGGAAGGAGAGCTCAAAAGGAACAGTTTCTTTCACCAGTTAGTAGAATTTTGGGGAAAACGCAATATCCTGACATTATTTGTGGGAGTTGATAGAGCAGCCCTGTGGTTATGAACTGTGAGACACGATCTCTTCAAAATAAGTTTGGCATGAGCACCAAAGGATTTGCTGTCACAGCTTTAGCTCTGGGGATACCAGGATAATAAATCACATTTTTCTCCCCGGGACTGAAGTAGATGTAGGGTTTATCTGTTCCTTAATGACTATTTGGAAAATAAATGTTGAGTTGGTCTTGTAGGCTGAGTTTTGGTATATTGATAATGTGCCTGCAGTTAATACAAATAGATTAATGCGGAGAAGACTGTAAACGTGCCTGTTGTTTGTTTTGGAATTTCTTCTGAGCCTATTTAGTAGTGTGTTTGAAAGGAAAAAAGTAACAGGCACAAAGAGCCAAAATATTAGACAGTAGCTTTTCAACAGGTGGAATTGCTGCTGGGGCTATTGGGGTATTGGAGGGGAAATGTCATCTCAGTTTCTCAGGCACAGCATCCACTGTATGAGTTTGTAACCAAATTTGTTTGCTTTTGTCTTCAGTTTTCTCTTCCCTTTCTGAAGTGTAAGTGTTTTTAAGGTGAAAATTAGAGGTCATTAGAAAACCTGAGAGCACAGACATCCTCAATCACCAAATGCAGTTTGAAAACAGATATTTTATTTTTTTTGAAATCTTGCTAAAATTTTGGTTTATGGAAAATCTTTGTCAGTGAACTGACAGTAAGAATGGAATGGTTGAGAGACGTGAAAAAGGTGCTACCTTTTAAATGCATTTGCAGACAATTTAGAAACTTTTTTTTTGTCATGTTTGAAGGAAGACAGGCTTTACTAATTAATTAAGATTTATTAATCTTAAATTTTGTCCTCTCCAAACTTCTAATAGAAATCAGTCTGAGTTGGCTGGAACCCCTGGTGGCCAGGGACAAATAACAAGTTTAAAGTTTAAAAAAAACCCAACCAAACCAAATCTTCAGTATTTTATTCCTAAAGAACTTTTCTGAAACAGAAGGTGAAAATGAAATGAAAGGTGAAGGTTCTAAATTATGTTTTAAATTGAACAAGAAAGACTCATAACTCAAGGAATCCTTCTGGACATTTTCTCTGCAGAGGTTCTTAGATTTGTTTCTTGTAGGTATGTTTGCAGTGCAACAATTTGAAGGAGAACTTGCAGAAAAGCAAGATAATGGCTGTCAAAGTAGAATAAAAGTGGTAACTTGAGTGTAAGAATTGGTCCCGATGCCCCACCCCACCCCACTGTGGCAACTGAGTATTCAGTTTAGGAATGAGAAAAAAAAAATAGGTATGGACAAGTTATGGAGGGGAGATGTGGTAGGATATGTCACAATTGATGCTGATCCCTACTTAAGATCAAATTAAGAAGGAAAATGTTTCTGTGAAATGTAGCATTTATTAAATAAAACTTAGCGAATAAACGTAGGCTCATGAGTCATCATGGATAATTAATGGTTCCTTTTCGTGCGTTGTGTTTAACAAACTGCCTGATCTCCCCTCCTGATAGAGCTTGTACTTTGGTTTTAATAGTTCAACGTTTGCAGGACAGTGGATTTCAAATTGAATGCGGTTGTGACCACGTTGAACAGATTATGGAGCTCAGAAGCAATGCAGGCTCGATGTGCAGATATTTATTATTTTAGTAATGCAGATTATATGTTTTACCTTGCGTGTGTATGTTTTATTTGCAGCACTAACTTTGTATTCAAATAAAACCTAGAAAACGTATTTAAACAACAAAATTATTAAAAATGTATCCTGCGTATCTTGTGGGAGAATGTAAAGTTTGAAGCTGTTTATTCCTGTCTGAGGCTAATTGAAGCCCTGTTTCTACTCCTTGGTTATTTTTACTTGCGTAAGGAAGTTCAAAATACTTTTTTTCCCTTAGTGTAATTATTGTAGAAATGAAGGAGGGTTGGAAAATTGTCAGTGCAATCAGGGAAATTTATTTAGTTACGCTCGGGATGATTCCTCTTTCTGTTACAGAAACGTGTAAACCAAAACCAAAATCGCCTCCTTAAATTTTGTAGGATTTGAAATGTTTAGAGAGTGTTTACATGGAAATTGTTGCGGTCGTACTTGAAGTGGTTTTTAACAAGTTGGCCTAATGCTGATAAAATCTAGTTGTGGCAGATTGGAGCATGTAAGGAAAGGTGAATATTTATTAGCTTTTGTTGAATTTACTTCTGCTAAAGGTTGGACTGCGTTTGGTGCTTTATTGTAATTTGGGAAATAATAGCAATAAAAGCTGAAAACATTGTGCACTTGTGGAAAATCATAATGAAGAGCAATAAATGCTCGGAGAGTGTACATACCTGTCTAAACCAAAAAGGCTT